GTCCTTGAGTACACCGGTGATAAAAAGGTAACTTTATTTTATGAAGGCACCTTTTTCCTCCGCGGCTGGCGCCTCAGTTGGAATATTTAAATATCCTTCATTATTGCACCTTCACAACATAAAACGAACCTACATACAAAATGCAGCTTCCGAAAATATAGCGGTACGGAGAAACAGTGATGAAAAAGTTATTTTATTTTATGAACGCGCCTTTTCCCCTGCGGCTGGCGCTTCAGTTATAATATTCAAAAGTGCTTTCTTATTGAAGATCTACAACATAAAACAAGCCTACATACAAAATGTTAGCCTCCGAAAATATAACGGTAGTGCCGCATCTAAACCTAAGAGGCACCTCATTACCAAATTTTAGCTTCCTAGGACTAACCAGTATGGAGACACAAAGATGGAAAGGTAACTTGATTTCATGAACACGCCTTTTCTTTCGCGGCTTACGCCCCAGTTGGAATATTTAAAAATGAATTTCAATCGCTGGAGAACAAATCCATTTGGAAAAACGATCTCAGGAAGTTCATTCCACCTAAACGCAGTTCTCCAAATGAAAGAGTTCTTGAACAGTGAAGTTCGAGATGAAGTTGAACCTCAAAGAGATGAGCAGATTTCAGAAATGTACCGCTCTTGGTGGAATCAAATGTACCAAATCACTTGAACACTTCCCGTGAAAGTATTTATAGAAAAGAGACAAATCTCCAACTTCTCTTCGATGTTCCAGACTATCAAGGTTGCAAGTGATATTCGCGGCTCCAATTTTAGCTTCCTAGGACTAACCAGTATGGAGAAACCAAGATGATAGAGTGAGTGTTGAGTGAGTGACTTCGACTAACCAGAATGGAGAAACAAAGATGATAGAGTGAGTGTTGAGTGAGTGACTTCCGCATTTATGAGTATAGAATTGGAGTCAATAGTTTGATCGAGTAGAATCCCTCTGGGCTCAAGCGCAAATCGTAGTTTTCTGTAGAAGGTTTCGATAATCTGATGAGCCATGTTGAGTTTTGAGAACTCTAACGAAGATGGGCTGAATACTCTTTATAAAAAAAACTATCAATTACGCATAACGATTTAAACAAAATTTGAAACTCATGGCTACAGAACGAGTAGTTACGTTTGAGTAGTTTACTGCCATCTTATATACACGAACACTCTCGTTAGTTGACGTAGAAAGAGTTGAATCACTGTTTTAAACTATTTGATAGGAGTGGATATTTGCACTGAGAGTATTTTTATTTCTCAACAAATAATCGTGGACTCAAAATTTGAAAAGTTTCTGAAATGAGTAGTTAAGTTTCAGAATTTCGATTTCTGTTCTTACTAAACACATTTCAATTACAGGTATCTTCATGTGGGATGTAGAAGGAAAACAATATTTTGACTATCTGAGCGGTTATTCTGCTAACAATTTTGGTCATTGTCACCCAAGAATAGTGAAAGCACTACAAGATCAGAGTGCTGTTTTGCACCACACTTCCAGAGCATTTTATTCAAATGTACTTGGAGAGTTTTCCAAAATAATTACGGAACTTTTCGGTTACGACAAATTATTACCTATGAACACTGGTGAGTAAAAAATATACATATTGGTATAACGAAAATGTTGGTTGGATGGTTTGTGTGTGTGTGTGAAGGGATGAAATTTGAGTCTAATTAGTCAAATTAGGAAAGATATATCAATTCAGAAGACGAAATCAACACTATTGTTGGACTCAATTATTCATAAAGATGAGGCTGAGTATAAATTAAGAGAGTTGTTCATAACTCTACTTTCAAAGAAGTCATTTATAAGATCGACAGAAAACTCAAACATTGCTTATACTTGTCCCCCAAAACGGTTTGTTGCTAAGCCAAGTTTTGACATCGACTGTCGAATGAGACATCGATTCTGCTTCTCTTTGCAGCTTTCACTGTAAAGCAACTACATCAAAAAACAACCCAAAATCAGTCGATATCAAAGATTGGCCTTGTAAAATACCACCGTGGCGGATGAATATCTTCGACAAATAATGTGAGTTTTCTGTCGATCCCATAAATCCTTTTTTTGTAAGGGAAGTTGTTCTAGCTCACTCATAAAACTAAAAAATATAGGAAAATTGACTCATCTTCAGAATGAAAGATACCAGCAAGAAAATACCCGAGTATATTCCAATTAGAGATTCAGCGCATATAAACAATAATCAGCAATCTGAATGGTATTGATCAAACAAACAAACTGCTACAAATGCTTTTTACTGTTTTGATGCAGATGCGTCATCAGATTCAATGCGAAATGCATCGTCGTTAGTTCCATTTTATTGAGTTTAATCGTGCGTTGTTTAAATTGCATCTTTTTAAATACCATACCTTGTAGTTTGAATATTGTGTTTTATTTAAATAATTTCCAGCTCCTCGAGCATATACCAAAAATTTTAGTGTATAATTTTAATAATTGTTTGTTATATTAAATAATATATTCAGGACACAAAACAAGCACGGACACATTTGATGAGTCTACAAAAATTTGTCTCCTCCTATGCAAACGTAAAAAAGTCCGTTTTCGACATTAACAGAAAATGATTTTAAACGTGTTCAAGCATGAGACTCAATAAAATCAAATAACATTCAAAGATGATATTGTAAACAAAGTGGTAAATAAAACAGCCTCTACAAAATTATCAGAGAATATACCCCGCTAACTATACATTTTTGGCGCCAAAAACCAACCAAAATCGTTAAAAAATTGGAGTTTGATAGATGACTTTTATAGACATACAAACAGAAGAATTGTGCGTCAATACTTCTTTGGAAACGAACTTTCTATTCTTGACAAAGTCCGAGAATACCTATTCTCGGACAAAGTACTTAAAGACATACATGACGCTCCGGACTTGCCAATTTTTCAAACGCGCTACGTTGTATAGATTATTGAAACATATAATTTTGAATAACAAAAACAAGGAAGAAATATCTTGCTTTTATGCAGTGATGAAATAGTGCTACGGAAACGAGAGTATTAAAAAAATTAAAACTTATTAATAACTTAATTATTGTATTAGACAATGTCCCGTATCACTTTAGGAAACTGGAAAAAAATCAACTACAGCATCAAGTAAATCTGATATGTTGAAGACTGGATATTGAAGACTGTATTTAGGCCTTGGTATATTGATGTATTCGATTCCCTTCATTCAACAACTTGAAAACTTTCCAAAATGGTTTATACTATACAAGAGAGAATATCCATTGTAGCTGCGTATTTTGAAAATGGACGATGTGCTAGAGCTACGGTTCGAATTTTCAATGAAATTCATTCATAAAAAACCACATCATATCAGTACCTGATTCAATTGATGAATAAGTTCATGGAGTCGGAATTAGAGCTGAAATGAAGGGGTCGCTGTTGCAGTTGTGGGTCATGCAGAGATGCACAACATAGACCACTTGAGACTATTTCTAGAGTTTCTAAAAGCAGCGTACATCGAATTCTGAAAGAAGCAAAATTTCATCCTTATAAAATGCAGGATGTACAAGAATTAAATGAAAATGGTCCTTTCAGACGTACAGAGTTTTGGAAAATCATAAGTCAATTTTTGGTTGGTTGGTGACGAATCTTCTTTTTATTCAAATGGACATGTGAACAAGCACAACTGCAGATACGGAAGTGACGTAAATCCCCATTGGTACAGGGAAACTCATTCACTAACTCCCCAGAAACTGAATATTTGGGCTGGTATTCTGGGAGACCATATTGTAGGTCCATATTCTATTGACAAACGTATCTTGAACTTCTTGATATAACTGTGAACCCCAGAGTCACTCAGTTACTGATAGACGATGATAGTCTACTTGTAGGTCAGCTCACATTTCAGCAAGATGGAGCTCCTCCACATTTTGTTGCACCTGTACGTCAATTTTTGGATGACAATTTCACAGGGAGATGGATTAGAAGGCGAAGACCAATAGAATGGCCAGCTAGATCTCCTGATTTCTCTCCATAAGACTCCTTTTTATGGGCTCATTTGAAATCCCAAGTTTATATTAAACAGCCAAATTTTCTTGATTATTTACGCAGGAGAATTGTTGAGGAGTGTCGTGCAGTGACTCCAGAAATGTTGAAAAATGTGCGAAAATCGCTTATACTTCTGTATGGAACTAAATGGTTCACATTTCATATGATGATGACATTTTAGGTGATGAAAAATATAAATATCATGATAAAACTTACTTTTCATTAAATATGTTTGAAATATGTTTTTTCCGTTAACCAGCTATCGCACCCCTACGAATGACAACCCTTAGACACTTGATCGATCCTCAATTTCGGTACACCGATGTATTTGTATACTGTGGTCACAAGTATAGTAGTCCATTTGAAAATTCAGAAGAAGGGGGTGCTGGGGATGAGGGGGTTCACAACCCAAGGATGATGTATTTGGTGAAAGTGTTCCCCCTTGAAATCAAAAACGACGGATCTGAGCGATTTTCAATTTTTTTCACGATTTCACAGATTAGGGGGGTGACAAGTTTTAGCTGGGACACATTGTATATTTTCAACAGAGGTGAATCATGAAAAATATACTCTCCATTGAACATTTTCTAGGTGTCGAAGCTGATGAGACGGCGTGTAAATTATCAAGAAAATGGGGTTACAAAAAGAAAAACATACCAAAGAACAAAGCAAAAATGATATTTGCAAATGACAACTTTTGGGGAAGATCGATAGCAGCTATTTCAGCATCCACTGATCCACTAAGTTATGAAGGATATGGACCTTTCCTTCCCGGATTCAGCTGCATTCCATACGATGATCTCACGGCACTTGAAGTATGTTTGATTTTTTTTTAACATTGGGAACGATTCAGTTTGCATTGTATGTACTAGTTTGTTTCAAAAGTATTGTCCGTTTCAATGTATTTTTGAAGCTCTCCATATCTCAACCGACTGAATCTAAGGCGTTTACCCAGCGAACCAAATTGAGGCATGGAATATTATTACATAGTGAGTCGTTTTAAGTGGTGATTTTGTATTTGTGAAAAATTTGTGTCTAGTTTCAAAATGAGTAAGTGTCAAGCTGTGGGTTGCTGTAATTTGCAGGGTGATGTCGGCATTCATTTTTTTCGATTTCCAATTGACGAAAAAAGGTATGTTTTTCTATTATTTATTATGTAAGATTGAAATAATGAACATACATATAACAAAAATCATAAAATAAGATGTTATAGATCATATATATTGAAGTCATTAATATGCAGACTTTTTATTATGAATTTAATTTGATGAAATTGAACTTTACGAATATTATATGCTTCCAGTTTCACTAGAAATCCACAAAGGAAAATAATTGTTGAACCACATCAAGTTTCGATTTGTATCTGTAGGAAAACAATTACTTCCACTGAAATCTCTGCAAAACCAAAGTATCAAATGTAAATTCAAATAACCTTTTTTGGAGCCCACTTTCCATTTATATGTTCCAGATGATCTACTATAAATAGCAAATATGTATTTTCTTAGATTCTGTCATCAATAACAAAAAACATCAGAATTTCATTCGATTGACACACTTCATAATTAGCAAATTAGGCAACCCAAATTCTACTTACCCTCTACTTCAAAGTTAGCCCTGTATCGGAGTTACTTTCATCCTATGAGTTTTCCCAGACAAATGCATTGTTTTTCGGTTTCCTCACGTTGAAATTTTCAATTTTAGTGTTTGAACAATAAGAACCAACCTTCAACAATCTATTATTTGATTTGTTTTGTGCCTACACACCATAAACCCACAATTTTTTTGTTCAATCATAAGCTAAATTTTTAGTAGGACATTTTTTTTTGAATTTTGAGTTATTCGCGAAATCCCGCCTGAATAAGTGGGTGTATTGGTTGAAAAAATGACACTCACTCGCGAATGAGTCGAAAGTTATTGACTTTCAGAAAAACCTAATAGAACAATAGTTATTTAGAATTGGTCAATCTAGGACCGTAGCCGGTTGGGTTGACGAAGATGCTTTGCTCCACTCACTCAATCGACTGCTGTGTGAACCAGTGATTCAAGCCGCGAGGTCCGACGATCGATTTTCACTTGCTATCGTACGTCAGTATTAGGAATCACACTTTGAAAGGTAAGACCCCGTTAGTCATTGGCTCGCACAAGTTTCGACTTGTGAGAGTTGTCGTTCGTAGGGGGGCAACAGCTGGTTAACGGAAAAACAGATTTCAACAGATCCATTTTTTTATGAACATCGGTAGTGTTTGGGAAAATTATATATGGGAAAAAGGTTATTGACTGGACTACATAATTAGGAAAAGCGTAAAGTCAGCTTATTTTTTGGGTAGCAATTACATGAATCAACTGAAAAGCTCATTCGCATAAAATATACATGAGAAATTGGTTTCTGAACTCACATATATAGAGTATTTCATTGAGCACTTCCTATATTTAAATTTGAATAAAACAAAGTGTGTGTGAGATATCATCGATATTTTTTTATTCGTTAGAAAGACCTATTGATGTCATTATGTCTGAAATATAACATTATTCAAATGTCCGCCACGGCTTCACTAGGTGAAGCGCATCCGAAACAAAAAATTTTCCATGACTCTAGCGCATAAATCAGACTGAATTTGACCGATGGCATGGGTTATGTTGGCTTTGAGGATCGCTGTGGTTTATTCGCATACACCTGCGACTTAAGGAAACCCCCACAAGAAAAAGTCTAACGGGGTCAAATCGCACGATCTCGGTGGCCAATTCACATTGCTTCCACGTGAGATGACCATTCCCTCAAATCGCTCGTGCAGAATATCCAATGTGGTATGAGCTGTGTGACACGTAGCGCCGTCTTATTGAAACCGCATATCGTTGGTCTCCAGATCATCCAATTCAGGCCAGAAGAAGTTGGTAATCATCGACCTATAGTACTCGGCGTTGACAGTGATGACCTGGCCGACGTAGTTCTCGAAGAAATAGCGACCGATGACGCCGCCAGCCCAAAATCCACACCAAACAATGACTTTTTCGGAATGCATTGAATGCTCTTGAATCTCATGTGGATTGGTATCGTCCCAAATTCGGCAATTTTGTTTGTTCACGTATCCATCTATCCAGAAACGGGCCTCATCGCTGAAGACGATTTTTCGATGAAAATTAGGGACAGTGGCCAACTGCTCCAGAGCCCATTTAGCGAACACATGTCGTTGTCTATGATTGTTAACCTTCAGTAACTGGGTCAGTTGAATTTTATATGGGAGCAGGCCGAAGTCACGACGCAAAATTGGGAGCGATGCGAAATCGGCTGCATCGTATTAAACTACACAGTCTCACAGACAGGGGCGATGTTTTCGGCAGATCTTGCGTTCCGTCGACGTACGGGTTGGTCTATCGTTTACTGAAGCAGTGGACTCAAATTTATCCACCACATTGCGAATAGTCCTTTCGGTAAGACGATTATGGTGATTGTTAAATGGGCGAAGCTCGCGGTACGTTGCCCGAACAGAACAACCATCTTGATAAAACAATTTTATTATTAGCACGTATTGTTGAATGCTATATTAATCGTATGACTCATGATGATTTGACAGACTGAATAAATGACAACTAATTTGACAGATGTAGCTTCAACGAGATGGCCGTTATCAATTGTCAAAGTTCGCAAGTTCCTGTTGGAAGACCCTATATTATAACCTATTGTCATAAGACAACATATGTATGTGTCATATGTTGACAATTAGAGTTGAAGTAAACGCCTGACCAGGCGAAAGTTTAGAAGAATTTCTTCATAAATATTATAGTAGTTCTGTATTGCCAGACTTTAAGTGGTTTATTGGTAATTAGTATAGTCATCACAAGGGCGGATATAGAAATAAATTTCGGGGGGGGGGGAATTTATGAATTTCGGAGGGAGTAATTTTCAAGGGGAATATATGTCAAAGTAAATATTCCAATAGTCATTTGGAATGTAATGAATTTTCGAAACACACCCTGTTCCCAAACTCCAGAACCGCAACACTCTTCTCAACGCGCTTTTCAACAATCAAGTTGGCGTCTTCAGGAGATGTTAACTACTCGTAATTTCTAACTTTGGAACTGGCCTCTATATTTAACAGATACTTTCATACACACATCAGTGATTTCGAGGAGAAAAAGAAAGAATAATTATCAAATGATCGAGAGGGGAAAGATGTTTTATATCTAAAATCAGGCGAAGGCAATAAAGTTGGGACATTGGACAAGTTAGATTACTATAAGAGAATTGATAATTTACGTGAGAACGGTTCCTATACTAAGTTACCAAATAATCCTATGCATAAGATAGTTTTGAAAGTGAAAAACAATCAGAAAGTGTCGAAATTTGATCGCATCGACCACAGGTCGTTGCGTCTTCTGGTCGTTGCATCTATAGTATTCTGATCCCACAGTTCCTAAAATATACTGTCTACCAAAAATATACAAATCTGGCAAGTCGGTACGACCAACTGTCTCCGCCATAAATTCCTCTAATTATAAAATTGTTCAATTATTATCATGGATAGTGCTATAAAACTGCTAAATGGCTTACCAAACAGTTTGAAGCTCTCTCAATCTCACAATTGAGTAAATGAATTCATGGATAAAATTGAAGATGTGAAGTTGCGAGATGGAGAGATTTCAGTATAATTTGATGTATTCTCGTTATTTCAAGTATCCTTATACCAAAAACTATCGAATATTTGAAAGATCTTCAGGAGGTCAATGATCTCAGTGGAGAAATAATCGAAGACTACAAACAACTAACAGAACTGCTATGAAACAGAAGTTTCCAGTTAGCAACTGTTTCTACAGACATCACGAAAGCATGGCAATAAGAAACCCACTTTCCCCCTTTATAGCTAATCTGTTCATGAACAGATTTGATTTGGAAGCAAAACAGAAGTTAAATTACTTTCTATGGACTCTGCGATTTTTGACACAAAACGAATCTCATGCTTACTTTGTTTCAATTCTTAACAACAGATCCCTGAACAAGTTAACATATGAAATTGAAAACAACGAGGAATTACCATTCTTGGTGGTGATTAGATGTAACCAGGGTCTAGAATTTAAGTTCTATGGGAAGAATACTCATACTCTTAGATATATTATTCATGGCTTACACCATTGTCCACAATACAAAATGGCAAAATTGAACTTCCTGTCCATAGATTTCGTGTCCTTGAGTAAATAATAATAGAATACAACGACTTACTATTCTTGGATGTCTTATTGATTAGAAATAACCAGGATCTAGAATGTGATGTCAGATATATTTCTGACAGCTCACAACATTGCCCACAATACAAAATGGCAGGACTCCATGAGAAAAGAAAGATAGAATATTGAGGAAAATGTTACAAAGGACATAGTTGAAAGCAACGCGCATCCTTCAAATATAATAGATGAGTTAATAAGGAAACGCAAATTCAGCAAGAAACTTCGTGAATCTTCGACTTTTCGAAAAGACATCGATTTAGAGTTCATTGTTCTTCCGTATGAATCATGATATACTAACGGATAAGATCGAATTTTTGAAAAGTTGACGTAAAAGTAGCCTTCAAAACTTCATGATCACTCCAACAAATGTTAGGTAACTCTGAAGATAAGATGTTGAAAAATGAAAAGTAGGGACATCTGTATCTGTAGAGTAGGGAGGGTGAGTGTAAGCCCACGCACTTAGGCCACATGTGACCCATTGTACATCCTCCCGAGGAGTTGTCCTCCTAGGTCATCGTCCGTCCTGTCCTTTCCAGGAAGGTGGATAGGTCACTGGGAGACATCTCCTTTATATCGGCAGGTGTAGGCCAAGACTCACCGAACACACACTCTCTTATTGACGATAACTCCGGGCACTCACACAGGACATGCCTGACAGTCTCATCTTCCTGTTCACACATCCTGCATAGAGGTGTGACCACTAGCCCTATATTATGGAGGTGTTTCCTTAGTTGACAGTGGCCAGTCAGAAATCCTACTGTTAGGCGTAATAGTAGGGACATAATCTGAGAGGAGAAAATACAACGGTTAGACTGAGCGAGCTATTAAAACTCGTTTCAAAGAACACGGTTCCGATTTCGAAGGCCAGAAAAATCTAGTGTCGCTCAACATACTTTGCAGAACGTTCATAGAATAAATGAAAACTGTCTGAGATCGGTACATTTCCTCCACGAGAAAATTTTCAGCGAATGTTCACCCGAAATCATTGATGTGTGCCTGAAAGACAAAGTGTACCCTGTAAAATATAAAAAGAGACTAGTTCAGGAATTGGTCTATTTTATCTCCTGAAGACAACTCGGTTGGTGAAAAGCGCGTCGAGAAAAGTGTTGCAGATCTAGTGTTAAGAAAAATTGCTTGTTTTGTATTCAGTTCAGTATTGAATGTTGAAGTCGGGAGGGGATAATTACTCCAATAAATCCACCCTTGAGTTATTAAGATAAGTTATTGAGACTTTGCTATAAGAAATAGTGAGTAATTCAATGTTTGCACTTTTTGTAACTCTTCACTGCCTATTTTTCGTGTTTTTTTAGTGTAAACGGCATCGACTACTTTGGTCTAGGAAGACACTATAAATAACTCCCCAAACCACCTAGGAAGCATCATGGATATTCGCAGTCCGTCAGCCATGTAACTTTGCAGAATCATCCCTATTTCATCTAGATAAATTCCCTCGAGAAAAATATCTAGTCGAAGTTGGGATCGAACTCACCACCTGCATGAAATGGAATGTTCCCACCCTAACAACATAAAGAACTTCGAAATCTACAGCCAAACGATATTCTTCCTTTGTCTTTCGTTGTAGAGAAAGGATTTATGATCCAACAGAGGAAAACGCTGTTTCGATCCGCCCTGTCTCATCAGTGGTGATGGGCTGAACTTTGGCGGGTCGTAGCAGCGCTGTCTGGTGTTTTACTAAGAATGCTTTGTGTTTGGGCACCAGTTTCATCTAGTTTCATTGCAGTGAAAGCTGAAGCAAAAGACGAAGTACAAATTTCCTTCGACATTGCTATGGACCGACCACCTTGAGGAGCTTCGTTAATCTGTGATATTCGTGGACTATATCTTCTACCAATAATTATGACATTTTCGTGAGGAGATATGTCATCGCCTTGAAGTGAAAGATGGAAAACGAAGATCGTTCAGCGATCAATTTATAAGCTTAGATTCGTAGCGGGCCGCCTTGAAATCCATCGTTTATCTTTGATATTCGTGAATAATGCTTCTGTTGTTTCCAAAAGTAGCATATTCGTAGAGGAAGATGGTACCCATCGCCTACTTACATTGGATTTGTTGATATGAGGAGAATATTATACCATTGTAGCCGATTTCAGCCATCGCCTTTTTTGGGCTTTTCAACAGAATAACCCTATAAATATACAGTATTTCCTTCAATAATTACAGTATTCCTTTCATTTCAAAATATTATGTAGACGTGACATAACTCAAAAAGTAGTCGCTTTTTACATAATCAATATTTTGGTCAATCTATTAAGAAATGTCTAATGTCAAATGTATTTGTGTATGTATAAATCCCAATGTATATTACTGAAAACACGGTCTTCTGCAATGAATGAAAATTCACATCTGCTGAGAAATTTATTTTCAAACTTTCTTTACCACAGATTTGAACTTTTCGGGTCTAGAAATACAAAAAATAATCAGTATTCGTTAAAGAGGTAGAGTACATGTAAACTAGTTTTGAAATACAGAATGTAACTAATTCAAAAATATCTTTTAAATTCTCAATGAATATTTTCAGAAAGCATTTCAAGATCCAAACGTATGCGCTTTCATGGTTGAACCAATTCAAGGGGAAGCTGGTATCAAAGTGCCGTCTGAAGGATATTTGAAAGGAGTGAGGGCACTCTGTACTAAATACAATGTTTTGTGGATTGCTGATGAAATTCAGACTGGGCTGGGAAGGACAGGTAAAAGACTAGCTGTTGATTATGAGCATGTCAAACCCGATATCCTTGTACTCGGAAAAGCACTTGGAGGAGGTGTTTATCCCGTATCGGGATGCCTAGCTAACGATGACGTGATGCTAGTTATGGAACCTGGTAAGATTTCACAATAATATTTAAACCGTGACAGATTTAGTCATCTTCTGATGATGCTAACTTAATTAGCGAAGCGCCCGTTAAGAAACACAATGTTAGTTCAGGTGTTGAAAAAAAAGATTTCAGAATATACAGTATGTCGGTTCATACAGTTATATTTCTATATATTCAAACTCCTAAATATTTCACATTGTTTCAAATAGTGTTAATTTATAACTTACTGATTTGAAAATTATTTTTCTCTTTGGTCTAAACAACAGATCCCTAAATGAAAAACATGTATGAGATGGAAAATAAAGAATAGTTACCATTCTTGGATGTTCAAGTTATATGAAACATCGATAAGGGTTTAGAATTTGATGTATATAGAAAAAATTCTAGTCCTTTCAGATAGATACCTCCGATAGCTTGCAGGACGAAACTGCAGTAACGTTAGTAACAAATACAAGTGGTATAAAAACATAAGAAGGTATATTTCTCCTTTTTCTCTATGATGAAACTATGCTACTATGCACTAAATAACAGATTACAAAAATTACTTACTGGGACTCTGCGAATTTACAGCTTTAGATATCAACCGCAAAAAAAAAGGAAAGCAAAAACGGAAAAAAATATATGAAAATAGGAAGAGTGAATATCATGTATAGAAGATTATAGGATATCTTCGCCACGATATCTTCGCCACGAGTAAATTTACAAAGCAAAGAAACTGGATCATCATCAGTGATGCCAAACCGATTAGGCAAGCTCCAAGAAGGCTTCCATCCGCCAAACAGAAAGTGTCACCATTAATGAGATGGTAAAAGATGTTGTCATTGAATAGTGAGTGAGTGAATAGAATAGTGGTCACCTCCATTGGTATTAGTAACGTAGAAGGAATGATCTATCCACTTCTGCGTACACTGTATGCTGCTAAACGATATCACTAAAAGAATGTAGTATTGACAATACTCTAAATACGAAAGATGCATCACAGAACACAGGATCTCCGCAACCCGAAAACCAAAGACCGGCAACGGGCAATGACAGAAAACAAAAATAGAAAGTAACAATCCAGACACCGGCAATGGGGAATGAGCAAGCAACCAGTGAAAAATTAAAGAAACAGGGAACACACGACACACGACAAACTGAAAACAGAAAAAAGAGCAATATTCCACAAGCAAGGAGCAAATACCAAAAACAAGGACAAAGAACATCGAAGCACGAAAAAAAGAAACCTCTAGAAAAGATCGAGTTTGTGAAGAAGTTTGAGTTGGTGTTAACCACAATAAACATCGCGGGTTGCAGTGGAATATATTTACTTGCTTCCAACCTAACCTACCCATGCCGCAAACCAAAGACGTATTGAAACAATTTCATACTAGCTGATCAGGAAAAGACTTTGGCTTTGAAATGATCCTGACATGTTGCATGAGTTCGAAAGAGATACAACTGGATCAATTGATGCCGTGACGTAGAGGAACGATGTAAACGGCATGACCTGTCATGGTGATGACAGAATACTTGAACCTTACTCGTGACTGATAATGGCAATAAATACCTGACGTGGTAATGGACTTTCTCCAAATGATCCGAGATTGTTTTTATTCCAAATCAAGTAGCACATGCGTTCCCTAATAGCATGGGTGGCAAACATGGATTACCTTTATATATTCATTTCAATCGTGATGAAATTTCGAGTCAGCGCTGTAATCGAAAAGATACAAACGACACTCCACCGACGGAATGTCCAGAAAAACTGGAAAATGATTTCATCTATCGGAAAACGATCGGGTGTTTTCCATCTGAACTTTGGAAATGAAATAAAACTTTTATATCTACCATTTCGTTGACTGAGTTTATATGAGACAGTACCTTCAGCGACTGGATAAAAAACGGGTTAGAAAAAAAGTCACAAACACTAAGTTCAAACGAGGATGTTCTAATCCCAGAGCAAGAACAATTCATCCCAAACTACAGAGGAGATCGAAAGGCCACTACTGGGTGGCCAAGACAATATGACATTGCTTTATTGCATCCAACTAACTCCAAGGAGCAAACCATAGGTGTTCTAGGCAGAAAGATTTTCCCTCTCTATATGGAAGCGATTCTCCAAAGTGATTACGTTAGAATCAGATGAGACAGTTGAGATGGAGTCGAGCTGCTTATGGATCAGCAAAGCGGTCAGTAACACGTTCCAATAAATCGTTCATGATTATGAATCGCAAACGGGTTTCGACCTTCTTTTCGTTACTAACAATTATTTAACTACTTTCAAATAGAATGTTTATGGAGCACACACTTCTCGGCCTCCATTGATATATAAAAAAGTGTAATTTCAAAAAAAAAAGAATACAGAAACTGACATATATCATTCACAAATGTTTCTATCAGTTATGAACCGGAAGAAAAATTCTAATTCAAGCAACTACAGGTCGCTACGTATGTTTAATTGAATAGAAACTGATTTTTCAGTGTTATTCATGTGTTATTCAATATCCGTAGAGAGAATTAGTTGCTTCTTCCGATTCATATCTGATATACGTAAACAAGTTTGCTTTTTATACCATGCTGAGTACCCTGAATAAATATCATTCAGAAATTGAGTTACAAACTGTACTTTCACTTAATAGATTAATAAATTGTAGATGTTATTACTACGCAGGTACCCATGGTTCGACATTTGGAGGTAATCCACTTGGTTCTAAAGTTGCTATTGCTGCTCTGGAAACCCTGGAAGAAGAAAATTTAGCCGACAATGCTTTCAAAATGGGAGAGATATTCAGACAAACATTAAGAGAAAAACTCAATGAAGAAATTGTTCTTGAAGTGCGAGGAAAAGGACTATTGAATGCAGTTGTAATCAATGGAGGTAAGTCAATGGAATAACTAATGTTCATTTAGTGAAGACGTAACCGCGCCTGCATCCCCGGGCACGGGCGGGGCCCCCAACCAAAAGTTTGTTGCCTCTCGAATTCAAAACTAACGTTCAAAATGA